CCCCTCATCTGCCCGGGGAGCCCCTCACCTGCCCGGGGAGCCCCGCACCGGGGCCAGCCGCGGAACCCCTCATCTGCCCGGGGAGCCCCTCACCTGCCCGGGGAGCCCCGCACCGGGGCCAGCCGCGGAACCCCTCATCTGCCCGGGGAGCCCCTCACCTGCCCGGGGAGCCCCGCACCTGGGCCAGCCGCGGAGCCCCTCACCTGCCCAGGGTCAGCCCTTCGCCGCCAGGGGAGCCCCGCACCTGGGACAGCCCCAGAGCCCCTCACCTGTGCCAATCTCTCTCCCTAGGTATCCTGCCTTGTGCCTCCTGTTGATCTATGCCAACCTCTCACCTGCCCAGTACAGCTGAACTGGGCTGACTGAAACATGAGTTTCACCTGGGTGGGGGGGCTATTCCCTGGATGGACAGCCCACCCACTCCAGCCCCTCATTCGATGACGAAGCTTCTCTTGTGCAGCGCTTTGTGTGCCTGGGAATCCTGGCCTTGCCAGCCCTCCTCAACCCTGGAGAAAAAGGCTTCTCTTGGCCAGCTGTTGACCCGTCTCTTCCAGGTACCTTCCTCCAAGCTCCTTCCCAAGTGGAAACCTACATGTGGCTCATTGGCATCACACTCTTATTAGTAAACCCAGCGAGCCCAGGCGGGCTTGGGTGAGTCTCTCCCATTGGGATAACACTTCCTCAGGGGAGTTGTACAGCATTTAAAATGAGCTTTTCAGGAAGTGCAGAAGCTGCCTACGAGGAGGAGAAGCCAGCCAGCTACCTGGGGACCAAATGCCCTGAGGTTTACCAATTGGTCCAGGGGCCACCGTTTAAGAACAGCTGTGCTGCAGCATAACCCAATGGGTGCTCCAGGGAGATGCTCTGCTTCGGAGAAGTTAAGCTGAGGTCCCGTCTTCCAGCTGGTGTCCCTCTCACAAGCAGCTGTCCAAGATCTTGTGGCACTTTTTAGAAAGAGGAAGGAGCCATACAACTGGTGGCATTTTTAAGCACTGGCCAGCCATTCTCCCTCGGCACTGGGTGTGAGCTGTTGTTGGGCCCAGTCTGAGCCTGAAGTGCGTTAGAGAGGACCCAGTGGGTGCTGTGTCCCACCCACGCAGCAGTCACCTGGTGAAGTGAAATTAACCCGATCAAGTTCTTTTTAATCCTGATGTCAAAACGTAACCGCAAAATGAGATTTCCACGCCTGCCATCCTCCACAAAGGGGAATGGAGTGATATCCCTCTCTGCTGGCTGTTCAGCATGTGGCAGGGATCTGGGGCTCAGCAGAGAATGGAACTAAACCAATTTCTTCACTCCGTCTTCTTTCCACACTTCCCTGCAAGACAAGACTCCCCTTGGAACATACTCCTCTAAAAGCAACAAGCTGGAGCTCGGTTCTAACGAACGAAGCAGAATTCTGATTGGCACGGTTTAAAATAGTCCCGCCTCTCCCCAAAGAGTTTTTGGTAGGAAATGGTAGGTTTTTTTAGCTAAAGCATTTTTGAAACTGCTAACCAGGAGCCTCCAGACACCCAGATTCCATGAAACCACAGCTTCAAATTCCAGCAGGGTTCGCCTAGCTCTTCATCCTTCCAGCCAAGGTCGATAACGGATGAGCTCCATGCAGTTTACTGCATGAAGGTCTTTCCGATGAGACCTTGAGTGCCAATACCCTGTTTGTTCTATGTGTGTATTCAGGATTCCACGGCACTTTTCATGAGTAGGGTTTTTGCTCTAAAGTCATTGGTCCAAAATTCTCTCTGTTGATCGGTGTCCCAGATTCCTGACTCACTTTCACAGCAGGGCGGCTGTATTTCAGAGCAGGATATTCCCAGCTATTCCTGCTGGTATTGTAGCAGCAGCAGCGAGAGGGTTGCACAGTGTTTCCACACACCAAACCGCTGTTGTCAGTCACTTGTAAATATCTGAAACCAATTGAAAAGTTCCACAGAAATGTAAAATATTCATTTATTTGATTTTATCAGCTTCGCCTGCATGGGTGAGGCTGAGCAGGAATGGTATTTAATTTGGATAAAAGGTTGGGATTTAGCCCAGGGGATCTCTGACAGTACCTGAGCTGTTCCACAGTATTGTGTCAATGAATTTAGTCATCAAACCCATTCCAGCTGCTGAGATAGACACATGAAAAAAACCTCCCACACAAGCTGCAAGTCTCCAGTTTCCCCGTAGACAGGGCCGGCTCTGGCTTTTTTGCCGCCCCAAGCAAAAAAAATAAAAACCTGTGGGGCGGCCGGAGCCAGGGTGCAGAGGGACTCCCTGCGCTGCAGACGTGCCCCGGCTAGCAGGGGGAGAGAGCGGGGGGAGACAGAGAAGGGGGGCGGCCAGGGCTTCAGCGGGGCGCTTGCCACGCGCCCCGATTGCTGCACCGCCTGCCGGGAGGGCTCCGCACCACTCCAGTCGGCGGGGAGGGAAGGACGTGGGCTGCCCTGCCGGGCTTGCTACAGACCTGGCACCGGCTGGGACAGATGGAGCGCGCAGCCTGTTCCCAGCAGGGCGCTCCCCTCCTCCGCACCGCCGCCCCCTACAGGGCAGCTGGATCGGCGAACAAAACAAAACAAAAACAAAAAACAAACAGAAAGCGGCCGTGCCGCCCTAGGATTGGGCGGAATGCCGCCCCGTAGAATCTGCTGCCCCAAGCATGAGCTTGCTCGGCTGGTGCCTGGAGCCGGCCCTGCCCGTAGAGATGCTAGAAATACTAGACTGACAATCATAGACTTTTATCTCCTCTTTTTCAAAGGTAATGTTGAATTTAACATAGATATTGGCTTGGTGACAGGGAATCAGGACGCCTGGGTTCTGTTCCTAGCTCTACCGTTGACTTGCTGTGTGGGTCATTTCTCCTCAACATGCCCCCTTTTACTCATTTCTCAAATGGGGGTGATGTAAAGCACTATGAGGTTCACAGATTTTAACACCAGAAGGGACTGCTATGATAATCTAATCTAACCTCTTGTGTAACATGGCCGCAGAATTTCATGCTGTGATTCCTGTATCAGGGCCAACAACTTGTGGTTTAACTAGACCAGGGGTCGGCAACCTTTCAGAAGTGGTGTGCCGAGTCTTCATTTATTCACTCTAATGTAAGGTTTTGCGTGCCAGTAATACATTTTAATGTTTTTAGAAGGTCTCTTTCTATAAGTCTATAATACATAACTAAACTATTGTTGTATGTAAAGTAAATAAGGTTTTTAAAATGTTTAAGAAGCTTCATTTAAAATTAAATTAAAATGCAGAGCCCCCCGGACTGGTGGCCAGGACCCGGGCAGTGTGAGTGCCACTTGAAAATCAGCTCGCGTGCCGCCTTTGGCACGCATGCCATAGGTTGCCTACCCCTGAACTAGACAGAACCTATCTCCTCTTTAAAAGATGTCAAATCCTGATTTAAAGACTCTAAAGCAGGGGTCTCAAAGTCCCGGCCCACGAGCCGTCTGTGGCCCGAGAACCTCCCCACTGCGGCCCGCGGAGGAGAGATGCATGCAGCCATGCTGCGCTGGTCCCCACAACTCCCATTGTCTGGGGGAGAGGGACAGAGATACCATCACTAGTTGCCGGGCAGAGTCAACCGTGAAGGCAGCATCATTAGTTGCCAGGCGGAGTCAGCCATGGAGGTGGCATCACTTTTTTCCACAATTACTATAAACAAGTCAAAATATGGAACACAACTATCTGATGCACCCCTTGCTGCAATCCTGGAGGTTTCAACTGCTCAGTCCCTGAGGCCAAGCATCAACAAACCGACAGAACTGAAGCGTTGCCAGGTGTCTGGCAAACACTAACAACTCTCTGGCAGGCAAAGAATTGTATATCGTTGTATGACAGTTTTATTATTTCTAAGAAATTCAAAATAAAAAATACAATATAAACGTTTTCTGAACACCATCTTCAGTCACATTATTGGCCTGCTGGGAGGATTTGAGGACTGGCACTGGCCCTAAAGTAAATTGAGTTTGAGACCCCTGCTCTAAAGTGTCCAGTATTTATTTATTGTGATTATTTAACAAATCCATAATATTTTGGTGTGATTGCTGGCTGGGACACTAAGTGGCATGTAACTAAGTCATGTGGGAGAAATTAAACTGGAAAATAATTAGTCTTGGCAGAATTTAACTATTTTATAATTTTGACTGATATCAATGTTTATTTTTAAGCATTTTTTTTTAGATTTTTCCCATTTAAATTTTCAGTTGTGGGAAATTATGGGGGTGTGGGGGGAGATCAGACTAAGGACACTAGACACTGATATTCAAAAAGGAAAAGCTTTACAAACTGTTAAAACACATTGTCAAAATCATGTCAAAACATACAAATTAAATATCCTTAAATCAATAAATCACACCTGTTTACTATTCATACGCTAGTCCATTCGTAACAAGCCTCATTCAAAATTCTAAATCACAGAAAGTTCTCAAGCAGCATTTTTCTTACATTGCCTGTCTGTACATTTCTATTGTTATTGATGAAAATATTTTTGTTCTCAGTTTGGGTGTGTACAGGGAATTTGAGGTTTACCAACATCAACTAATAAAAACCAAATCCTTCCACACCTAGGAATAATGAATTAAAAGTTACAGGATACAAGTTACAAGGCCTAGATGTTTGGGGACCTCCATTTGACACAGCCATCAGGCTAGAGGATGGATACATGCAGCCAGCCTGGTTGGGGGTCTGTGATATGATTAAGAATAATTCACTTCATGAGGATTGCTGCTCATGTCATATCCCTTTTCTGTTTTTGGTCCTGACTTTGCAGTCCTACCTCTAGTTCGCGCCCTATTTCAGTGTCTGGTTATTGACACCTGGGGTATTTAGATTCTGGACTTGGGGCCGGAGCCTGCATCAGTTAATATTAATGGTAACATCCCTACTGACTTCAGTAGGGCAGGGCCTTGATGCGTAGCTGGCGTGCAGTAGTTCCCTGAGGGCAGCTTCCCTGGTGAACATCACCAAGAGTGCCATGGCTCCAGGCGTCATCACGTCAATCCAGCATTACAGGGATGGGCTCTGCAAGTGTCAGTGCTGCTGCCACATGCTGGTGGAGCGTGCGCATCACATCCACTTCCTGTCCAGAGAGGGTAACAGCCTGATACTCCCAGCAGCTAACGGAGCTGCTCCCATAGCTCGAGTGAGACAGGTCTGGGCTGAAGGAGCCAGGCTGCAGTGCCACCAATCCTGGGATCTCCCTACCCCTGTCCTGGGCCCAGGACCCCCAAGTCCTCTGGCTGTGCCTGTGCCCTCCCCAGCCTTG